GGTCGGTATTTGCCTTGTTACCATTTTATAGCCAAATTGATGGTTTGGCGGTGAGATTATTGATCGAAGCAGACTTTGAACAATTATAATTATGGACGATGGTTAGGCAACCGATTTCATACAATTCCATAGACAATTTTTTATAAGTTATTCCTATAAAAGTTATAACAAATTAGAAATGCGACTAATCACATCATGTTAATGGTTCGGTGGTGAAATCTTGAACTTAAAGATACCTTGATCGACAACTTGTTTATTACAATTCATTAGCATAAAAATATTATGGTTTAGCTTCGAGTTTTTGAAATGAAGCACACCTTTGATCTATTACAATTGTCAATAATTTATGGCTCAGCGAATGGTTTATTACAATCCAAACTGTAGAATTTATCGTTTATGATCTAGTACTGGGATTTTGAACTGAAGGAGACATTGAGCTACTTCAATCTATTTATAAATATTATGGTTCGACCTATTCGCTAATATCATGTCATGATTAGATTTGAATATCAATCTCATCGATATCATCAATCTCATAAGTATCATACCAAATCCCATCAATCGAATCACTTTTTCTAGAAATACGAGACATCTAAGTCATACAAGTAAAGAGATCTATTCATTGATAAGAAAAAGAAAAAAGGTGAATGATGATTGGATTGACGATAAAATAGAATCCTGAGTCGCGAACAGTGATTGGATTGATGATAAAGAAAGAGAATTCTTGGTTTAGTTCTCCACCTTAATGACAGAAAAAAGGATTGATCAAATTCTATTGAGTCTAACTCATAGTGATCATTTATCAAAGAATAACTTTGGTTATCAAATGATTGAACAGCCAGGAACAATTTACTTACGATACTTAGTTGACATTCATAAAAAACATTTAATGAATTATGAATTTTATTACATTATTGTATCACAATTACACCATAATTAACCGTTCGGTAGTAAGATGTCGACATGAAGAATACAGTCATCTATCTAAATTCTATAACACAATCATGATTGAACCTGACAATCTAAAAAGTTACTAGATTGGTCATCCCTAGATTAATTTTTAAAGTCAAATTAAGATTACGGTAGTGAGATTTTTAATAGAAGGAATCTTTGCTCTATTAAATTACAGATAAATTATGGGTCGGTATTTGCCTTATTACCATTCTATAGCCAAATTAATGGTTTGGCAGTGAGATTATCAACTAAAGCAGACCTTGAACATTAATGGTTTGGCAGTGAGATTATCAACTAAAGCAGACCTTGAACAATTATAATTATTGACAATGGTTAGGCAACTAATTTCATACAATTCCATAGACAATTTTTTTATATATAAATTATTCCTAGAAAAGTTATAACAAATTAGAAATGTGACTAACACATACTTTTAATGGATCATAAATGAAATGTTGAACTCAAGGATACCTTGATCTATTAGAATTCCATAGTACAATCATGATCGAACCTAAAAATTTCATTTGTTCCTATATTGTTCATTCCCAAGTTATTTTTTTATAGTCAGATTATGTATTAGACAGTGAGATTTTGAACTCAATAACATAGTGATTTAAGAAGAATAAAATCTTATTGGCACAAGTTTGTTAAGCATGCAAGTTAGAAAACATTATAAGGATAGATTGGAGAAGGTGTTAAACATGTATATGACATTTATGCAAAATGATTAATCATACAAACAATAATAATAGGAAAAAGATTTGTTTGGCATATGTCTTATTACCATTCTATAGGCAAATTGATGATTTGGCAGTGAGAACCGAAGCAGACCTTGAACAATTATAATAATGGATGATGGTCGGGCAACGGGTGTATCAGTTCTTCCTAGGAAAGTTATAACAAAGTAGAAATGTGACTAATCACATGGTGCATGCTTGGAATTCTGATAGATCAAGGTATCCTTGAGTTTAACATTTCACTGCCAAACCGTTAACAGGATGTGACTAGTCGCATTTCTAATTTGTTATAACTTTTCTAGGAATAACTTATAAAAAATTGTCTATAGAATTGAGAAAAACATTGATAACTAAATAAAAAATGGTTCAGCATAACACTTTTCAATACTTGGGATTCACAATACAATTACTTACAAATTAACGGAATACTACTTAGTTACAAATAATTTGAATTTGATAGTTAAGGTCAACAAAATATTTAATTGTAATAACAAACGAAATTAACATGTTTTTCACATTATATATAGAATACAATATTATCAACAAAAAATGCAACGTCAAATACCAACAAAACTAAATAACAAAATTAATATAGATTGAAAAAAACAAGTCCTTCATGAAATACATATACATGGTACAAAACTTTACATGATCCAACTTCACAATCTCAAGTGTTCTTATAGTACAAATCAATTTTATGACACCAATCTTGACAGTTCATCAGCACCAAAACCCTGCAACAATAAAATATTTAAGTCCTCAACTTCCAACCATCTTCCACTTCACATCGATTTGATGTGTTAACTTTCGCAAACTTTTGTAGCAGAACTATTTACAGGGGGATATCATTTTCCCTTTTCATAAAGGGAGAACGACTTACACGTACCCAAGATTTGTCGTAACGATAAGTTAGTACCCAAAAGGTTTTGAAATGACAAATAGATACTTCCGTCATGTTCTGTTAGTGATTTCTATTTATTACTGTTTATTAATAGTGAAAAGACTAAAATGCCCTTAAAAGTTTGAATTTTAGTTTTTTATAAATTTAAAAATTTCTAAAAAACCCCCTAAGTTTACAAATTTAACTAAATACCCCAATCTATGAAAATTTTATAAAATAACAAAAACACCCCCGCCACCTGCAGTGCCAGATTCCGGCCACCACCGCCGAAATCTGGCCGAAAAGTTACGTTACGACACAGACCCGTCGGATCTGTGTCGTAACACTTCGATCTGGCCTTTTCCGGCCAGATCCGTGGCTGATCTGGCCGGAAAAGGCCAGATCTACGCCTAGATCTGGCCGTCGACGCGGCAAAACTCCATCTGCGGCGTCGACGGCCAGATCTGGCACTAGATCTGGCCTTTTCCGGCCAGATCAGCCACGGATCTGGCCGGAAAAGGCCATATCTGGCTGCTGCTTCGACGGCCAGATCTTGCCTTTTCCGGCCAGATCAGTGGCGGATCTGGCCGGAAAAGGACAGATCGGCACGTTACGACACAGATCCGACGGGGATCTGTGTCGTAATGCAGTTTTCCGGCCAGTTTCCGGCGATGGTGGCCGGAATCTGGCAATGGGGTGGTGGGGGTGTTNAGATTGATGCATTATATCTGCTCCAATAAGGAATCTTTGGTTTAACTGAATAACTAAAAAAAATAGATAGACCCTTCTCTTCGTCTCAGGTCGATAGATCTTCTCAATTGGAAGATCCCCTATATGGATAATAAACATTCCAGTTGACCGAGCCTAATTCGAATTCGTTTGTTCCGAAGGAAAGATATCCACAGGGCGGTTCGCCCTATTCAGATATTCACGACCAAGAAGAAGAAGTACTAGATTTTCTTTCGGATAGGTCCTGAAAGGAGAAGGAAGGCTGGAATGCCAACAGACGTCTATTATTGAATTCACCCGACCCGATAGTGCCAATTTTGGGAACGTTCAATGCCAAAGTCACTGAACGGGTAAGTCGCCAATCCCTAAAACGGACTATGTAATATACTTTATCGGCTGGGTTACAGGCGGGCATTTTACCAAAGGTTTATATTGTATCAATCTACTCTTGTGTGGTTCCTGTTTATGTTAATCATCATTTTAATGACACTTTAACAAAAGGATCTAAGACAAATAAATCATTCTCTATGATTCTTGTTATAGGTATCCCAACTATCCACACCTTGGACTAACCACCTCATTCACAAAAATCTTTTCAAATTTAAAGAATGTAAAAGTTTCTAAAAGGATGCAAAAGAGGTATAACACTACTACAGTTTATAAAATTTAATCATTTACGTATCGTATTTTCCTTTTTGCTCTATGAATTTTTTTTTTAAAAAAAAAAAGGGGGGGTGGGGTAAGATGATAGTTAAGGTTTTCATGTTGTTAGCTTATAGTCAATTGCTTTCCACCTAATAAGGCATCTATATCTTCAAGTTGATTGGAACCTAGAATTCTTCAAACTTGGATTTCAATAAAATAGGAGGCAAGGCCTGTATTTCTCTTCCTCAAAGAATGCTTTATGTCAGTCATATATGCTTACTCTTACGAGTTTATGCAAGCTTAATTTAGATTGGTTGTGTTACACAGCCCAACTCACCATCATGCAGTGCATGATCACCACAAAACCATTTTACTTGTAAACTTCTAACACAAGCTTAACATGCTTTTTAAGATGCGATCCTACATATTGTAGCATTCAAGATACATCAAAAAACAAGATCCAGCAGTTTTGACATTGTGGACTTAAAGCTAACATATAGCAAGCACTAGAAGCATTGACTAATAGTTAGGAAAATGAAGGAGATGCACACCGTGCTACTCATTCCAACATGCGCCTCATAAATTCTAAGTGATTTCGGCCTCTTAGGTTGAGGATGTTGAAACTCATACTTTTCATGCAAAAAAGATTGAACATTAACAATATAAGGAGTAGCAGATATAAATGGACTTACATCTTCCAGTTCATCATATCGAGTGTTTAATGAACTTTATACAATAGCATCTACTAGTTCATCTAATAAAATACATGGCAGCCCATATACTAAAAATAGAAAATTCACTGATGATACACAATCTTAAGTGTAACAAAGTGCATCTCCATAGGTGTCAATGTTACGGTATGGTAAGCGTTCCATGTAATATAGCATACTCAAAATTACACAATTATTTAAAAATTATATGTAGATCCTTCCTAATGTTATTGCTGAATTTGAATTCACTCTTGCTGTTATACTAAAGATCCTTAGACATGCCTAAATCATAAATTTCCCAAAAATGTTTTGGCAAACCTAGAGAAATAAAGATTGCAGAACCATACCTCTGCTGGTGGATCATAGTATATACCATTGTATAGGATTTCACCTGGAGCTTGTACAGAGAACTTCATCCAAGCAGGTATGGAATCTTTAATGACAGATGGTGTCTCCATTCAAATCTACAAATTAAAAGATGAGAACTAAGTAAATTTTAAGAGCATAACCACCAGTTCTAGGTTCAGGATAATTGACACAATTAAAGGAACCCAAAAGAATAAGAAAAGGTAAGAGAACATGCATCAAGCCATAGAACAAGACAATGTGTTAGTTACGTACTAAACCATACTAAGTACCTACCTAAAACGTACATGTAACAATTAGAAAGAAATATCAAAATATATCAAAACCATAGCTATCTATCCCTTATACTCCCAGGTTTGATTAAAAAAATGGAAGCAAGCATCAATATTAGAACATATGAGAACTGTTGTGAGTTTAAATATTATAGTTGGTCCTTTCCCTGTTAGCTAATACTTTTGAGATTATGGTTACTTCACAAAAAACTTTCCCCTAGAGAAGGGAAATCATGGAAAATATTTGTGTAGACTATGAACTCATTTTGCAAAAGCTGATATCACTGGGAGAACTTAATAAAAGCAATTCTGCAACTTAAACTAGAGTTCTTATTAATCTAGACCAATATTAGAGAAATTATTTCTGCAACTAAAATAGTAAATAAAAATTTCACTAATGTGGGAAGAGAAACACATTTGTGTGCTGTGAGGAAAGAAGAGGAAAAGGAAAACCAAAGCGGAAACCCATGTGTAGCAATAAAAACAATTTTAGAGCCAAACTAAAACTTTTCCCAAATAAAATGTTACCTTCACACGAGAACCATGGGGAATTGATGGTGAACCATCAGCATTGTTAGGCAAAAAGATCTCCCAGATCCCAAACTCATTCTGTTCATAGATCAAAGGTGAATTTTATATGTTATTGAAACAATTATGATTCCTACAAATGTAAGGAAAAAATTAAAAAAGAACTTACAAGAAGAAAATATAACTGCAAGTGATGCCTGGCATCACCATCATCAAATTATAATAACCTAGTTATTGGCTTTCTCCTAACCATGAACTAGCATTATGAGGCAACAATCAACCAGTTGTCCACAGTATATTGTCATAATTACGGGTGTTTCATTCTCAGTACCCTAACTGAAACAGACCGAATTGAACCAAGGTCGAATATGCAAATAAAGCCAAGTCAAATGTCTAAGCTGAATTTAAGCTTGATTTATATTTGAGCTGAAATACACCATTGGGCCTTTAACTACTAACTTAAGTATTTAGGTTAAGTGGTTAACTAACATAGTATTAGAGCTATGTTGACCAAGTGCTCCTGTGTTCAAACACTTTTATTGTGTTAATTAAATCATAGCATGTTGTGTATGCAGAAATTGTTATATTTATTGTTGTCATCTGTAGTTATGCTTAATTAATTAGATGAATGTTTAGCGATTGGGAAGTGCAAAGAACCCTCAAACACTGGAGATCTAGCAACTAAAAAGATTGATTCCTCCTCATTTCTAATTCAAAAACTCCCAAGCTATATTGGACCCTAGTATCTTCATTGAGGACTCAAGAAGGACAGCACCAGCAACTTTAGATGAATCAGTAAAAACAACCTTTACCTATAAGCTTAATCTTTTGTGTTAAACTGTTATCTAAATGGTACCCAAGCCAATCTTATATATGAACCCTGCTATTAAATTAATTAAATAATAATATGTTGTGTTTATGGTTTTGATTACGTTCCTAGTAATGTCTGGTCAGGCAGTTAGAAAGCTGCATAGCAGATGATGATGGGAATCTCACTCAATTTAACAACACCATCACTCTTTCTTAACCAAATTCCAAGTTACTTACTTTTCCATAAATTGCTGCAATCGAACCAAGTTCTTCACATACAGTCCTCAAGATGACTCAAACACATTCAAAGCCAGTTGCAGCTCTTAATACAAATTAAAAGCAATAACAACTGGAGTCATTGATGCCACCTTGGCGGCACATAAGCAAACTGCTTTAGTTTGAATAACTTTCACACAGCAACATCTCCTAAAATATTGATAGCATAAACTGGAGAATGTACTCAAAGAATCAAGTACTTGAAAAGCAGCTCAAAAAAGATGATTAATTTACAGTGGCAAGTCAATGAGTGCTAATGTCCTATGAAAAGCCTACAGGCAAAACTGCTCGAAGTTTTTGTGCAGCAGATAGCCACAAAGCTAAATTCAATGTCTGAGTAAACATCTCACATGATCCACTTTTCCAAGGCCATTAATTTGGTATTTTTTGTTAAAGAGAGAGAAATCATTTCAATGCAACAAAGGCAACATAGAGGAATGAAATTCGTGGGAGAATTTCTTAGAAAAAATGCAGTAGTTAAAGTAATTAGCACTGGACCAAATTTAAGATTACCAACCCAATCATGTAAAGCGGTAACACAAGGTTTTTTTTTTTTTTTTTTTTTTTTTTAAGTAACCTAGAGCGTCTTTTCCAGTGAGAATTCTGAAATAAATCTAACAAAGTAACATACTTAGCTCTATCTAACAAAGTAACCCCAGTAAAACAATTTATTCTATCTTAGACTACTGCATAAAATACATAGTTTCCTCCCAAAAAAAGAAAGACTTTAACTACTGCATTATTCTGTCTTAGACTATAAAGCAAAGTTTGGCTCTATTTTTCTGTCTAGGATGAAAATTCGCACAACTCACAATGTCAGTGCAATTAAGAAGAGCCAATTTGCAGCTAGAACTCTGATTTACAGAAGCAAAGATAACATACCACCCGGGTCATGATATCTGCATTGGGATTCCCGTTATTGAAGTCTCCAATCAAAGCTGCTGACTGAAAGAGTAAGCAATTACTGTATAAGACAAAAAATAAACAGTACCACTGGATTTTACACGTCTATTACTAGTATTTATTCAAAATAATCCAATAAGTGCACAAGTTTCAGGAAAAGCTAGTGATGAAGGCATGTTTGACATTTGAAACCATACACAAGGTCCAGTTATCAGTAATTACCACCAGAAGGAGTAAACTTGAAAGAGGTAAGAGCAGATAGAATAAATAAAAACCGTCCATGTTTGATGATCAAGTCAAAAGGGTCACAAGCAGCATACATATAATCTACCACTTTTAGTACAAGAGTATTGAAGAGCCTTTTCTTTTTCTTAAATGAGAGATTAAAAAGTATTGAAGAGGCTTGACTTCCTTCTTCTATTTTTACGTATCAATATAAAAAGTAATTTAACATAAATTACAGGAGCATTATCATGATAGGGAAATAATTGTTTTCACAATAGAGGCACAAAGATTTAGGGGATCATAATAACAACATAAACCTGTATGGATTATCATCACATTGAAAAATTGTTAGCCCAAATAACACTATCCTTGTCAAGAGGTAATGAGATTAAACAGTTAAATCCTGGAGTAAAAGAATCAAACAAACCTTAGCTCCCGATGCCCACTCTCTATAAGTTATACCTAGGGCTGTAAGCAAGCTAGGTTCGGCTCGACTTTTGTCGAGCCGAGCTTGAGCTCGAGCGGCTCGAGTACTCTCTCGAGCCGAGTTATGAACCACCCACTACTAGGCTTGATAGGTTCGTGAATGGCTCAAAAGGGTATAAGTACTATTTTTTTAAGTATTAGGGGGTTATAGTAATTTACTCTATCCAATATAAATTATACTACTTCCTAAACCCTATCTTCTTTCTCCAGCGCCGACACTTTCTCCTTCCCTTTTCTTCATCTTTTTTCTCCTTCGTCTTTCTTCTCCTCATTTTTCCTTCTTCTTCACCTTTCTTCTTACTTCTCCTTCGCTCTTCCATCTCTTTCCTTCTCCCTCTTTGCTTTTCTTTGCTTTTCATTTCTCTCCTCTTCTCTTTTCTTCTATCTCTCACAGTCGATGGAATTTTGAGTCATATATTTGTGGTATTTGGCTTTGGATCTGATGATGGTTGGTGATGATTAGTGGGTTAGCTTTGGATTGGGGCTATTTTGAAGGATTGTTGGTGGATTGCTTTGGATTGAGGATTCATAAACGAGCGGTTCGCGAGCTGAATTCGAGCTCAAAATATTTAACGAACTCAAGCTTCAAGCCTAGTTTTCAGAGCTCGTCGAACCCAAGCTCGAGCTCGAGCTCATTAAATTTTCACGAGCCAAGCTTCGAACACCGTAGTCTTTGGCTCGGTTTGGCTCGTATACAGCCCTAGTTATACCTATGGCACTGCAGAACCAATAGGGACAATATTCAGCAACCACAACTTCTAATCTTTTAATTACTTTTTAAGTAGATAAAACTTGATTGGAACAAAGAGGGACCACATAAAATTTTGACTACAACTCAATTTCAATTTCAGAAAAAAAAATATGCACAACTAGAAAAATACCCACAAAGAGAACATGACAGCTGAAAATGAAGTAGAAGACAACAATGAGCTAATAAACCACATAGAAGTGCCACCAAAAAGAAGAAAGATAAACTGGTTCTATAGGCTGGCACAAATTTTCACCCCAGCTTGCATTGTTGATCAATACTTAATAAACCTACATGCTATTTCCCAAATTTGCAAAAATATAAAAGTACTAGTATTAACAAAACCCGGATGATATCCCTATATGACCACAAAAGGAATGCAAGCACAGGCCTCTCTATCTTATGCCCAGAATCGGTCACTTTTTTAACCCATGGAACAGCATTTATTGGCTTGAGCTTAGTCAAAGCAGACTCCAGGAAAAGTAAGACATATCTGTTGACAATGGCCCAAGCAACAAAGCTACAATGGCCAGAATTGTAATTAGTAATGCCAGCTGATGAAGTTTGAAAATATTAATTCAAACTCCAGTTTCACCACAGTTTAAATAAGGTTAAGATGCAAATACTTGATGAAGAATTTTCTATCTTGTGTGCTCTACATAGCATGAGTATTACCTCCATATATTTATTTCATCTTATAATTTAATTATTTATTTGCATCGAAAAAAGAGTAATACACATAATAGCACATTGCACCGTGATCACACACAACGTCACAATCTTATATTTAACCCGTAAAAATACTAAAGATAGAATACTCAAGGAAATCAACCAGTAGAAATTCAAAAGGTGTGATACCTGTGCATGAAGCCTAACTTTTCATAGCCACGAGAAAACAACTCCAAACCACCTTCATACCTGTCAATATCCTCACACATTTTTTTGTATTGTCCATACCTGCAATTGGAACAAGACTTTCACCAACCTCAGACATTAAATCGAGAAAGTGACAGAAACAGGAAAATAATCTGCTAATGAATAAAGGTTTATTCACAGCAAAATAATAAAAAGGTTTACTAAGAATAAAATAATCAGACTATAAAAGTCTGTACCATAAATCTATTTAGAGTAAAACATTTTGGATAATAAATCTTTAAGAACACAAAAATATAGACACACAAAAGGAGTGTACACAAGAGAATTTTGTATCCATGTGAGTGAAATGTGTGCTAGATTTTTGTGTGAGTTAAAACTAGGAAAAATAAGGAGTTGTTGAAAAACTTAGTTTACTCCTTCATTGTATGTCATATTAGAAACTATGATCGCATGATTTCATGAGAGAATATACTTGTTAAACTTACAATTAAACTAGAAAAATCCCTACGAAGATTCCTGAATTTGTAATAGATTTAAGGGTTAAAAAGGGTTTTTGTTGTGTGATAAAAAACTGTCAAAAAACTTCAGAGCTCTTATGGATATGGGACTTGAATTCAAACATTATTATGAACTAAAGGTATTTATTTAACAATAGTATTAAAAAAAAAAAAAAATAGAGCCATAGGTTGGTTTGTTCAATCTGACATAAACATTAGGGAGAAAAAACAAGAAGCACCATCTTCGCAAGCAAGATATTTATGTTTATTAAGTCCAAGCCAGGATGGAGGGTAGACTTAAATTACTGCTTTTTGATAAACAGAAGAGAGGAAAGAACGTAAAAACACAATAGGAAGAAGCCCACTAAAACTGACCAAAATGCATCTATACAAATATCAACCAAGAAAAAGCAATTAATTTGCTCCCATTCCTTTTAGATCCCAGGTCATTAAGTCATTCAAACAAACTCTCAGTGTTCATTGTGTAACAGAATAAAATATTATCTCACCTGTGATGAAGATGTTAACGAAAACCTGTCAAAGTTGGATCTTTCTCATATATTCTCTGCCCCCTACCAGGTGGAGGAATGGACCTTGTGTCAAAATAAGTCTAAAAATGCTATATAAATGGCCGAATGAATGGCCTTGTGATTTCTCTCTATTATATAATCTGTACAAAAGAATTCTATACATGGAAATACCAACGTATCTGCTAATCTTATCTCTATAAATCTGTCAATAATTAAGCTAATTATTCAGAAGAGTAAATCAAGGAAATAAACAGAAATAAATATGGACAGCAAAGCTGTCCGTTGATAGAAATAAATATGGACAGCAAAGTTGTCCGTTGATAGCCCCCCTCAAATTGATGCAGGTTGATCAACAAGCATCAATTTGCTACTTAGACCATCTCCAACCCATTGCACCAAATTGGTGCAATTTTGGTGCAAAACACTATTCCATCTCCAACCCACAACACCAAATATTACACCAAAAAGAATATTCCTTATAATATTCTTTAGAATATTCTTTTTTTCCTTTTATTATAATAATCAACAATTAATCTATTTTACTCATTATTTTTGTATATATTAATTAAATATTGGGAATGATATTTTTATTAAATAATAATTATTTTAAAAATTATACTAATTTAATAAAATTAAGTATTTATTTAATCAAATAAACATTACATTTAATATAGAAAAACATTACATCTAATATAAAATGATACCAAAAAAAAAAAAAAAAGGTAAAATTCCATATTGATAGTAATTTAATTTTCCGAATTAGTATGTTCTTCCCACAAATGATCAATTAATGCATTTCGAAGAGCATGGTGAGCCTCTGTATTCAAAAAGATGTGTTGTCCATTCAAGCTTTTGAGATTTGTGGCTTATTCAAAAAAATGTGTTGTCCATTCAAACTTTTGAGATTTATGGCTTATTCAAAAAGATGTGTTGTCCATTCAAGCTTATGTTATAAAATGGCATACAACACATTAGTTTTGAACACATCTCTTCTACTTCCTCTTAGAAAAAAAAAAGCATATATCTTCTTCATTCGTGTTACAAAATGACTACACAACGAAGTTCTTTGTACACAAATGAAGAAGACATGCATCTATGTCATATTTATCTTGATATTTCTCAAGACTCGATTTTAGGTATAAACCAATCTAGTGATCAATTTTGGTCTCGAGTTGAGCTTGACTACAATAGTTCCAAACCCGTGTTTCTTACCCAGGTTCAAAACAAAAGATCTTTGCAATGTCGAATGTGACTGATCTTTAAAGCTATTGGCAAATTGAGGGGATACGTATGTCAAATTGAAAATATGAATCCAAGTGGTGCTTCTGAGCAAGATATTGTGAGTATTTGTTACATTTCATTCAAGCTTTTTTTTCTTATCTAATTGATTTTAACGTTATATGTATATTGTTTTGTAGATGATTCAAGCCAAAATGTTACTAGCACAAGATAAAAGTTACGAGAAAGGTTTCAAATTTGATCATGTGTGGCCTATACTTAAGGATATTGAAAAATTTACAGATAATGTTAACGCCACAGAAGTATTTCAAAGGCAAATCGATAGGTTTGAAACACAAGAATCAGAGACTCCCACTTTAAAGTCTCCCCAATCGATGCCTTGTGACATATCGTCAAATTCTCTAAACATAAGTGATGAAAATATTGGGGGTAGTTCAGCTCAACGACCCCTTGGGGTGAAGAAAGCAAAATTTAAAAGGAAAAATAATAAAGAAGTTTTAAACAGTTTTGAAACTATTCAAGAAGAAAATCGACAGCTCGCTGCTATTTTCAATTGGGGCAACTCAGCTAGGGCACAAAATTATGAAATCCAAATGAAAAAATTGCCTTTGGCAGAATATCAAGAAGATAACAAAATTTTATTCAAGGATTTGAATTCTATAACCGATCCAAGCCTACGTGAGTTTTTTTCAAAATCAGCACAACCAGCCTAATCAGCATCGCTATAAGCAACAAGACGAGGAGAACTGCCTGCAGGAAAGAATAAGCCACAGGCAGAAGTGCCCTGAACATAGCGTATGATCCTACGGACAGTAGCCAAATGAAGATGACAAGGAGTCTAAAGAAACTGGCTGACTTGCTATACAGCAAAAGAAATATCTGGTCTAGTGATGGTGAGATAGAATAGGCTACCCACCAATTTCCGATATAAACTGGGATCAACTAGTAAGTCACCCTCTTCTTTGTGAAGCTTGACATTTAATTCCATGGGAGTATCGACAGAGGTAGCTTCCTGCAGTCCAGATGTAGCCACCAAATCACTAGCATACTTATGTTGATTGAGTGAAATCCCAGAGGGACTACGATGCACCTTAAGACTAAGAAAATACGTGAGAGACCCAAGATCTTTCATATGAAAGGATTTTGAGAGATGGGTCTTGAGTTGGACAAGTAAAGCAGAATCAGAACCAGTGATCACAATATCATCAACATAAACCAAAAGGACAACAATATCCATGTCTGATTTTCGAAGAAACAACGAAGTGTCATACTTGCTCTGCTTGAAGGAAAATTGTAATAAAATGGTTCGAAATTTATCAAACCAGGCCCGCGGAGCTTGTTTGAGACCATAAAGAGAGCGACGAAGTTTACACACATTAGAAGTCGGAGAAGGAAACAGTCCTGGGGGTGGCTTTATATAAATACACTCTTTAAGATCCCCATGAAGGAAAGCATTCTTAACATCCATCTGATGTAGTGGCCAATCATTGGAAGCAGCCAGAGCTAGGATCGTACGAACAGTGGTCATCTTAGCCACAGAAGCAAAGGTCTCCTCATAATTGACACCATATTCTTGATTGTTCCCAAGGACAACAAGCCGAGCTTTATAACGATCCAAACTTCCATCAGAGCGAACCTTGACTGAGTAAACCTATTTGCAACCCAGAAGAACTATAGTGGAAGGACAAGGCTCAATGTCCCAGGTGTGATTGGTCTCTAGAGCAGCAATTTCTTCTTGCATAGCTTGTCACCAACAGTCATTCTTGACAGCATGTGAGTAGCATGTGGGAATATCAAAATTGGACAATGCAGCAATAAGAGCTTAAATAGAATTGCCAGAAGAAAACCCATACCTACTCGGGGGTACAGACACTTGAGAAGAGTGACGTACCAAAGGCTCTGGAGGTGCTGTAACTGACTGATTTTGGTGTATGTTAGGATTAGATAGTGGGTGAGCCACCGGAAGAGACCGTGGGTGGGATCGTCTCGTGTACACCATACCTGGTTTAAAACGAGAACTGACTTGATGAAGATCTAAGAACTGCTGCTCAAATGAGGGGAGGACCATAGTAGAAGAAGAGGGCATAGATGACACATGAAAGAAATGTTGATTTTCAAAGAAAATAACATTCCTAGAAATACGTGTACAATGTAATGTAGGATCATAGCAAACAAATCCCTTTTGACACACATTATATCCTAAGAATGCACATCTAATAGATTGAGCAGATAATTTATGTCGCTCATGAGGAGGTAAATGAACAAAACATACACAACCAAAAATACGAAGATTATCATAACTAGGTTGCTTAGCAAACAAGCGAAAATAGGAAGACTCCATGTGTAAAACTTGGGAAGGTAAACGATTAATCAAATGAGTAGCAGTCTTTAGAGCCTAAACCCAGAACATGGATGGAACAGAAGATTCTAACAAGAGAGTACATACCATATCAAGAAGATGACAATTTTTGCGTTCGGCTACTCCATTTTGTTGGGGAGTAGCAGAACATGAACGTTGATGGATAATACCTTTAGAAGCCAAGAATGTCTGAAACTCAGTAGACAAATATTGACCACCAGAATCTGTGCGTATCGTTCTAATATTCGCAGAAATTGATTTTCAACATACGCTAAAAACTTAGTGAAAGTACAAAAAACCTCAGATTTAGAGCGACGAAAATAAACCCAAGTAAATTTGCTATGATCATCAATGAAAGTCACATAGTATTTAAATTTTTCATATGAACTAACTGGGGAAGGTCCCCAAACATCACTATGGATAAAATCCAAACAGTGAGAAGCTCTACTAGCATGCAAAGGAAATGGAAGAGTTTTGCTTTTACCAAGTTTACAAGAATCACATTCAAGAGATAAAGAAGAACGTTCTTTATTACCAAGAAAGCCAGAGTTCAATATATGAGATAAGATTTGAGTATTGGGATGGCCTAAACGACGATGCCACACCATACTTAGATTAGGAACATTATTATAAGCAAAAGACTTAATAGAAGAAATTGGAGAAAGTGTTGGACTCGGTAAAAATAGTGGAAACAAGCGCCCCACTTTAGGTCCTTTCACAATCGGCTTCCCCGTTACCTGGTCCTGCACAACACAACCATCATCAGAAAAATTAACAGCACAATTGTTGTCAACTAATTGACCAACAGAAATAAGATTCGTGGAAAGCTGAGGAGCAAGAAACACATCAGTAAATGTAGAAGAAGCATTTCCGACAGCAACAATTGGCAAAGAACTGCCATTGGCAGTCTGAATGGTAGATTGACCAGCATAGGGCCGAACATGAGACAGATTTGTGGGAGTATTCGTCATGTGATTAGAAGCCCCCGAGTCTACATACCAGAGTGTAGTAGAATGTTTACCTTGAAACCCCATTGCAGATAATGCTGAAATCGGCATCTATTGCACAATTTCAGGGTTACAGTAAGTTACTACAGGAGGTGCAAGATCAGAAAAAGCACCTAAGGAAGAGTCATATGCTACAGAAGTCGCTGCTGGAGGAATAGTAACAGAAGTCTGAAATGCTTGGGCCTGACGATTCTGGGGGCGGATACGATATTCTTTGATAATATGACCCTTTTTCTTGCAATAAGAACAATATTTTTTAGGACAATTGGCAGCAATATGCCCATATTCTTTGCAGCAGAAACATTGTAGATTTTTAGAAGTCACAGGTGATCCACGTCCTTGAGCAGCATAAGCCATAGTTGTCGTCTTGGAACTGCCATGAGATTGCTCCAAAATAGCTAGAGTACTAAGACGTTTTTCTTCGCGAAGTAATTCACTAAAACAAATATCAAGAGAGGGAACAGGAGATCTGTTCAGTAGAGAGGACCGAACTGATTCGTATTCCGGGTGTAGTTTCATAAGAAACTGATCACGCTGGCTAGTCTTGTGAAGATTCTGAATAGTCGAAAGAGCAGCAACAGGAACATCTGCTGTAACCAAAGCAGTATATTCATGCCAAAGAGTCAAAAATGCCGAGTAGTAGTCTTGGATGGAAAGACTACCATGTTGAAACATGGCAATCGCATGTTCCAATTGAAAACGACGAGCATTATTATCTTGATGATAAACCTTCTTCAAATAATTCCAAATGGATTGAGCGGAGCAATAAGCCCGCAAGTTGGTGATAAGATGTGGCTCCACCGAACCAAGAAGCCAAGACATGATTCGAGCATCAAGCACAGCCCAAGAAGGAGAAGACACAACCTTCTGAGATTTGTCACTGTCGGATGTTGGTGAAACATCTGTGCCATCAATATGGCCCCAAAGTTCTTTTCCCTTAAGAAAAAGTTCAAACTGAAAAGCCCAAGTAGAGTAATTTTTGCCTGTAAACTTGACACACACTGGTGCAGAATCCATTGGAAATAAATGGAACCCGAGACAAATCAATAAATAACCAAAAAAATAAAGGAACCGAGAGAAGGACCTTAAACAGAGGTTGCTGCAGACACCACTCCAGGAGAAAATGCTCAGAAAATGCCAAGAAAAATGCCCAGAAAAAATTTTCAGCCTTGCTCTGATACCATGTCAAAATAAGTCTAAAAATGCTATATAAATGGCCGAATGAATGGCCTTGTGATTTCTCTCTATTATATAATATGTACAAAAGAATTCTATACATGGAAATACCTACGTATCTGCTAATCTTATCTCTATACAATCTGTCAATAATTGAGCTAATTATTCAGAAGAGTAAATCAAGGAAATAAACAGAAATAAATATGGACAGCAAAGCTATCCGTTGACACCCTGGTCTAACTTGAGTTTTAGTTTCACTTTCTTCAGTACTTACTTTCTCTTGTAAAGGAAAAGATGGCTTTACAAACGTGGAAGCAGACACTGTCTCTTCAATCTCGACCTTCTCTTCATCTTCCATTTAAGACAATCTACATCATGAAGTACCTAAAACAAGGGCATAAAGGTGCAAGAAGCAACAGTGTTAAAATAAGCTCTCAGCAGAACATTAGCCTAAGAATATACAGAAAACTAATAAAAATGTGTATTGTTAAAATATAAGATAAGCAATGATAGAATACCTGTTATGACACTTGAATGATGGTTATTCTAGTCTAGTCAGGCCTACAATAAGCATGGCTCCCTACTTACAACAAGTACTCAATAGGTGAATGCAGTTATTATAAGCTCTCTCACCTTATGGAGCAGTCAAGTTATGCCATTACTGGAAAATTTTGTGAGGCAGTAATAATGGTAAAACTTTATGGGTTTTGGGATTTCAGCAAAAGTGATAGGTATTTGAAGAAATTAATATTTCAATTTTCTTATATCTTAATGTCTTTAAACATGACGCTTTTGTACAAGCATAGTCATCTTAATATTGTACTCTGTGTTAGTATATCATATGTTTGTACATGTTGATTCGTGATTCTAACACCAACTAATCGACACGTGCGTAACGTTGATTGATCAAGAGACACACGTGATTACGGAAAGGAATTATCTGAAATAAATGCTATGGGAGCTTTTTAAAGTGGTTTGGATGCTAAGGTAGCAAGTCCTACGTCCACTGATTTGTATTAGTATGGTGGGTTAGGTCGCAACAGCGGACTGACTTACAAATGATTAGAAAAGTAAATTACAAAGTTTGCAAGAGAGAGTTTTTTGTGTAAAAAATGGCCGAATCCCCTTAATGAAGGGGTCTTCTCCCTTTTATAACTAGATGAGGGCGTGT